GATCTGGCCAGGCACTGATTGCAGGCCTTGAGTGGTGACTGCTTGCTTTAGGTGGGCATCATTCACCACTGTCCCCACCCTCCCTCCATGGCCGGGACACCTTGGCCAAGTGTTAGTTGTCCTTTGTGAATTTCCTGTGTTCCTACCTTGCCTTCACTTGCTTCACGTACTTACTTTACCTTACCTGCCAATACACCGTGGAGTGTCTGAACCCAGCCTACCGTGTGTGGTCATTAATGGGGTTGCTTAGAGATCTTTTGTGTTTACTTTCCTTTTCCTTTTTTATTGTGCTTTAGGGGAAAGTTTACAGCTCAAGTTAATTTCTCATATAAAAATGTATATACATATTGTTCTGTGACATTAATTGCAATCCCTATAATGTGACAGCACCTCCCCCTTTCCACCAAGGGTTTCTTGTGTCCATTCAACTAGTTCCTGTCCCTTCCTGCCTGCTCATCCTGCCTACCGACAGGAGCCACCCATTTGGTCTTGCCCATTTGGTATCTGTTTGAACTAAGAGGAACACTCTTCACCAGTATTATTTTATGTTTTATAGTCAAGTCTAATCTCTGTCTGAAGAGTGGGCTTCGGGAATGGTTTCAGTTCTGGGTTAACAGAGCGTCTGGGGGGCATGGCTTTGGGGGTTCCTCCAGGCTCAGTCAGACTATTAAATCTGGTGTTTTTCCGTGAATTTGAGTTCCGTTCCATGTGTTTACTTTCTGTGTCTCGCTTACAGCCAGATGGTTTAAGGCTGCCAGACTGAGACAGCTGAAGCCATAGACAGGAAACAGGATGGTACGATCTTGGGGGAGATGAGACCATGTATCAGAAGCATTGCTTTGCACCACATGAAAAATGTAATCAATGTCATGAATTGTAAACGTGGTAGTTGTATTGGTTTATGCTTGGGTGTGTGTATTTTCACCCCCATAAGAAAAAAGCATTGCTTTGATTCAATAGCTAATAATTATGCAGAAATAGTCTGGCATGATGGAAAAATAAAAGGTCTTGGGAGCAAGTCAGACCCGGGTTCAAATCCTGCCTCATCCACTGACCAGCATTCATTCTCCTTTGTCTTTGTTAAACCAGCTGTGGTAGAAGCACAATTCATGAAACCCATGTGGAACTGGTTACTACAGATTAGTAAGTAAGCACAAGTAAGCCCATGCTTACCTTGCTTACTGGGTATTTGTCCCTGTCAGGGACTGTAAATTTGAAAAGAGGCTTTGATTCTGTAGGAAGGTGCTGTGGGGTTGGGAGAGAGACAGATGCCAGCCATACCTAGAAACAGAATCTTTGATACGGTGAAAAAAATGTGAAATTATTTACTACAGATGATCTGGTAAACAAGGTAAGCACGGTGCTTACCTTACCTATTGGATAATCCACCCTTGCATGTAAGGTTAATGAGAGCTAAGTCACTGTAAGGGAGAGAAGATCCCAGCGTGTTCTCAGAGGCCCCCACACAGCCTGGCCCTTTGTTTTACTGTTTACACTGATCTGATTACGTGCTGTTAGCTGTACTCTTTGTGCTGTCCCACCACCCCCCGTGTTTATATCTGCAAAGTTTACCCCGGGACAGAGACAGGCAGGGAGTGACACAAAATGTCCACTCGATGACAGTTTTCACTGTGTTAAGCCAACAAGAGTAAACAGAGCAGAAAGAATGTCCTGGTCAGAAGTTAACAGCTGATTGTTGCTGTTAGGTGCCGTCGAGTCAGTTCAGACTCATAGCAACCCTCTGTACAACAGAACAAAACCCTGCCCAGTCCCGAGCCATCCTCATAATCGTTGCTATGTTTGAGCCCGCTGTTGCAACCACTCTGTCAATCCATCTTGTTGAGGATCTTCCTCTTTTTTGTTGACCCTCTACTTTACCAAGCATGATATCCTTCTCCAGAGACTGGTCCCTCCTGATAACATGTCCCAAGTACGTGAGATAGAGTCTCGCCGTTCTCTCTGCTAAGGAGCATTCTGTCTGTACTTCTTCCAAGTCAGATTTGTTTGTTCTTCTGGCATCCCATGGTATATCCAATATTCTTAGTCGACATCATAATTCAAATACATCAGTTCTTCTTCGATCTTCCTTATTCATTGTCCAGCTTTCACATGCATATGAGGCGATTGAAAATACCTGGCTTGGGTCAGGCACACCTTAGTCCTCAAGGTGACATCTTTGCCTTTTCACATTTTAAAGAGGTCTTTTGGAACAGACTTGCCTGGTGCAATGCGTTGTTTGATTTCTTGACTGCTGCTGCCGTGGGCATTGTTTGTAGTTAATAGCTTAGCCCGACAATTATTTGGTGGAAGAAAATGCCTGTTCAGTTACCTCAGATACCAGGCAAAACAAACCTACTGCTGGGCCAGCGTTAAATTAAGAAGGCATTACATTCTAATCTCAGTCGCTGCATCGAAATCATTGTAAATAAGTCGGGACAGACTACAGAAGAGTTTTTTTTTTTTTTTTGGAGACTGCTGTATTGGCCTAAAAATAATGTTGCAGCTTCCCAATTTGCAATCTGCTTTGATTAAATCACAGTGAAAAGATGTGTTGAGTTTGCTTTGCATCGGCCATCGGCCAGAGCTCCCTAGTGTAGGACCAGGCCTTAAGGCAAAGAGAGAAAAAAAAGCCTAAACTTGCCATGAAAGCCCACTGCCTCCCTTCCCCTCCTACTTCTCCCTCCCCACTCTTCTCAAGCGCTGCCAAGGATGTGTTTTGCAGAAAAAGGTGTGGCTCTAGTAGGAGTGAAGGCGAAGTGAAGGCATCAAGATGGACTATTCAGATGTTTCCTTCACGTAGCCACATTTCTGCTGTATCTTTTCTTCTGGGGTGAAGCAGGGGCAGCAATGGGGAAAGAAAACAGTAGAGTTTAACCTCTGGGGATAAATCATGGACATAAATCAGCCCATTTGAAAGACTTGAAAAGGTAAATGTTTTTTTCCTCCATGCCTAAGAACAGAAATCGAAACTCAGAAGTATTGGATATTTTTCAAAGACAAACCTAAATAATAACAATAATTGTTGTGGTGGTTGTTAGCTGCTATAGTGTTGGCCCTGACTTACGGTGACCCCCCAAGGCCCAGTCCTAGGCCATCCTCATGAGCGCTGGCATATTGAGCCCATTGTTGCCTTCCAACCTAGGGGGCTTATCTTCCAGAACCATATTGGACAATATTCTGTTATGATCCATAGGGTTTTCATTGGTTAATTTTCTGAAGTAGCTTGCCAGGTCTTTTTTCCTAGTCTCTCTTAGTCTGGAAGCTCTGCTGGTGACCCTGCTGTATTGGAAATACCATGGCATAGCATCTAGCATCACAGCAACACTCAGGTCACCACACTACGACAGACTGACAGATGGGTGGTGGAATAATAGAAATAGCTCCATCTTACTGAACACATACCAAAACCAAACCCGCTGCCGTTGAGTTGATTCCAACACCTAGCGACCCCATAGGGTTTCCAAGGCTGTAAATCTTTATGGAAGCTGACTGCCAGCCGCATGTTTCTCCCACAGAGCGGCTGGTGGGTTTGAACTGCCGACCTTCTGGTTAGCCACTGAGTGCTTTAACCACAGTGCCACCAGGGCATATACTAGGTGCTTATTGAACATATACTAGGTGCCTAGATCTGTGCTGAGCCCTTCATATACACTATCTCATTTAATCTTACAATGTGAAGTAGGAGCCTCTATGATTTCCACAGATGAAAAGCCTGGTGCTTAGACAGGCTAAGTAACTTTGCCCTGGTCACACAGCTCGTCACTGACAGAGCTGGGATTTGAACTCAAGTATATGGGGAGCCCTGGTGGTGCAGTGGTTATTAGCTATTTCTATTATTCCACTTGGAAACCCTATGGGGCAGTTCTACTCTGTCCTGTAGGGTCGTTAAGTTTAGGAATCCATTTGACGGCAACGGGTTTGATATAGGGTCACTGTGAGCTTTTTGGCTGCCAACCGAAAGGCTGATTGATGGATTGAACTCACCAGCGGTTCTGCAGGAGAAAAGACCTGGCAATCTGCTCCCATAAAGTCACAGCCTAGGAAACCCTATGGGGCAGTTCTACTCTGTCCTATAAGGTCTCTATGAGTCGGAATCAACTTGACGGCACACAACAACAGATTAGCTCCAGCAGTAGTCGAGCGCTTAAACATTTGTATCACCAGGGACTCTGGACTTCAAAAGAAAAGCAGTAGGATTCAGCTCTGGCTCCTATCCCACTGAGTAGCTTTGGGAAATGTATTTTTATTGGCCTCAGTTTCCTCATCTTGATCTCTAAAACCCCTTCCAGCTCTTTGGGTCTATCTCCAAATCAATATCCATCACCTCCGAGCAGCTGTTACCACTCCTTACGACGGTGAACTATAGGAAGATACAGGGTGGTGTGGAACAGGGAGGAGCAGGGAGACTGCATTAGACACTGCATGTTTTCCTAACAGAGGCAGCTGTGCCAATTGCCCTGTTGGGTCCAGCCAGGAAGGATGACTGAGCGACAATGGGAAGGAGCAGGGAACAGACCCACTCTGGCACACCTTGTGTGGCTGCTGCCCTCGATCTCTGGGTTGGACTTTCCCCCAGAAGTCTCCTTCCCACCCGTCTCAATCGCCAAGTCACTCCTGTTGAGAGCTGGAGGCGCCTGGTACAGGTGCGCTGTGAGAACCCTTCAGTGATGTGACCAGACCTGCTGGGCTCCTCCTGGCTCCCCTGAACTGCACTGACTGATCCTTCCAGGAATTCTGCAGCAGCCCTGAAGCTTTTGTTCTTTCTCCCGAGTACGGAAGCGGGGGAGGGGGCCGGGTGGGGAGGAGAATGAAAATTCTTAGCGTTCTGTGAAATGACTTGTAATGCCTTCAAACCTGAAGATGTCAGAGAATGCATATCAGGCTTTTAAAGCGGTCCCGTGGCTTGTCACTCACATGCTGGAGATAATACATTGTCAACAGCTCATGTTATCTGAGCCTCGCGGCGTGAAATGGGAACCAGCCTCGCCTCTCCGGGAACCATGACTATCACATTTCTCTCCTGCGCGCACACGAAAGTGTGTTTATTCTATTACATGTCAGCAACACGACCGTCGAATGTTCAAAAGCACTCCCAGGCTCTTTTCTGTCCCCTCCCATGCTCAAAAGGGTGTCATTTTTAGTAGCCTCTTCCCACAGCCTGCACATAAGTATATAGGCTATGCAACGCCACCGGAATCTGTCTGATTTGATCCTGCAAACCCCTACCTCACCAACAAAGATGTTTTTGGCCTCTGATAATCTATTTAGGCGGCTTGCAAGTGCATTTCTTCCTTCCCTGCGTCAGTACGTGACCAGAAGATAGAGATACGCTGAAACAAAATAAGAGGTGGCAGTGAAACAGGAAAAGAAAGAGACCCGGGAGCAGATGTTCTTGGCTGTGGTTTCCAAAGACGGTTAGGAGGTTACGGCGTTCACCAGAAACAGAACGACTAGGTCTGCAACGCTGCGTGCAGGCGAGAAGCGCAAGCGGAGACAGGAGATGGGTTTGGTTTACACCTTTGCGACCCGGCAGAGGTGAAGCAAGAGGAAGTCCGCTCCAGTGAAGAGACTTTCCATAATCCATAACGTAATCTTTTCAGATCAGCCAATGGTATTTCGTATGCAAACGAGGAGGCCGGCCCAAGGGCTGGGCCGCGGGGCAGAGCCGGGCAGGACTGCTGCTCAACCCGCAGCCGGGATTCTGCACCGAGAAGCCCCAGATCAGGGCGTGTTAGCGAAGCATCGCTCTTCCAGCCCGCGCCCAAAAGGATGGACGAGACCCTGAAGCCGAGAGTAAATGAGGACTGAAGGAGGCGGAAAGAGCCAGCCGTCTAGAAGCTGTCAGAATTCAAGACTGGCGGGAGAAATACATTCGACCTCTCACACTTGTGGCTTAAGGGACTCATTATTTCTCAATCCCCAAAGAGAGATTTCGTCCCCAAGGAAGTGAAAAGAATGAACTTTTGGAGGTATTCCCTTTTTGCCTTTACAGTGTTCAGCGTGGTAGTTTTTGTGATAGTGTACAATAGCCGATTAAGCCTGCCAAAAAGTTACGAGCAGCTGAATATTTCCGGTGAAAGGTATTTTAGAATACAAGCCTGTGATTCCATCTCAGAAGAGAGGTCCACCTTTTTGTGGGAAAAGCCATTAGTATCACCGTTGGGAAGTGTCCCTTGCGAGGACTACCTGACCCAGAGCCACTATATCACAAGTTCCCTGTCCGAAGAAGAGGCCGCGTTCCCCTTGGCATATGTCATGGTTATCCATAAGGACTTTGACACTTTCGAGAGGCTCTTCAGGGCTGTCTATATGCCCCAGAATGTCTACTGCGTGCATGTGGATGAGAAAGCCCCAGCAACGTATAAGGAATCTGTGGGGCAATTACTGAGTTGCTTCCAAAATGCTTTTATTGCTTCAAAGATTGAGCCTGTGGTTTATGCAGGAATATCCAGGCTCCAGGCTGACCTGAACTGCATGAGAGACCTGGTGGCCTCCAAGGTTCCCTGGAAGTACATGATCAACACCTGTGGGCAAGATTTCCCCCTGAAAACCAACAAGGAGATAGTTCAGTATCTGAAAGGGTTTAAAGGGAAAAATATTACCCCAGGAGTGCTGCCTCCTGAACATGCAATTAAGCGGACCAAATACGTCCACCGAGAACATATAGGCAAATACGGTTCTTTTGTACAGAACACTAATATTTTGAAAACCTCACCCCCACATCAGATGACTATCTACTTTGGCACTGCCTACGTAGCCCTTACCAGGGAGTTTGTTAATTTTGTCTTTCATGACAAACGGGCCATTGATCTACTACAGTGGTCTAAAGATACCTATAGTCCCGATGAACATTTCTGGGTAACACTCAACAGGATTCCAGGTAAGTACCCATTTCCGTCCTCATTTCTTCTTCTCAGTAGAGATTGAGTTTGCTGGCATTCTGTTCCTCGGGAGAATGGAGGCATTTGAAATCATTTGAAAAAAAAATTTTTTTAATGCTTAGAAAATCATAAGCTTGGTTGTTGTTTTTTAGCGATGTTTAGTGCCAGCTCTGTTGTCTGTGAATCTGAGATACAGTGATCTAAGGAGTTCGCAGAGCCACAGTAGCCGTGGCAAGACCACCTTTGCTTGTGAACCATGTAGGTACCGTGTTTCAGCTTAGTCTTTTGAGGGATCGCTTTTCGTAGTTTTTAATAAGCACAGCTGGAACGTAATGAGACCGAGGTTTTCAATAAGCCTTCTAGAAAGAGCAGTGTCTCTTTCAGAGGCTTGTTAGGCACTATTTTGTTGATGCTGTCATTGCTCAAAGTTCATGGAGCTGTTGTGGTGGGAGGTGGGGCACATGGGAGGCTGTTTTTAGAATCTTTGAAACCTCTTTGGGTGTTGACAGATTCTCACTGGCTTAAATGTCTTTAGTCTAAAATCTGAACAAGTATTCAGGTCTCCTCAACTTGGTTCAACAAGTCTAATCTGGTATTTTATTACTTAGAGGAGTGGGTAACAATGAGTTGAAATATATATATTTAATATTTATATATTTTTTATATATATAAAGAGATTCTAGCTGGAGTTGATCCAAAGGGAATTCTCAATCTTTAAATCACAAATTTTTATTAGAAATTCCAGTTTGCACACTCTTGTTTTTATATACTTTGAAGTCTTTTCAGTTGTTTATGATAATTTAGAAAGGGGTCCAAGGTGTGCCAGGCACCTGAAGGCAGAATAAAGCCCTCAACTCCGTCTTTGATTCAGGACTTCAGAATTTCCCAGACAGGGAATACCTATGTGACCTGTGACACCTTTTCCTGGTGATGGTGTCCCCATACACGTTTCCACTATTGTGCCAGCATGGTTGGGTGTGATGGCCCCGTTTGGGAGTGCTTCTTACCTGCCTGCTCTACTTGAAATAACTCCCTGCTCCGAAGTGTAGTATCAGTGACACATTTGAGTGCTGTTTGAAGCTACCTTCACATCTGAAAGTTGACTTACAGCAGTAAGTCATATTTAAAACCAAAAAAACCAAACCAGTTGCTGTTGAGTTGATTCTGATTCTGTGCTCCGTAGGGTTTTTAATGGCTGATTTTTCAGAAGTAGATCGCCAGGCCTTTCTTCTGAGGTGACTCTGAGTGGATTCGAACCACCAACCTTTTGGTTAGCAGCCGAGCACATTAACTGTTTGTACCACCCGGGGACATTGTCAGGTACAGATGATGAAACTGAGGCTTATACATTGATGGTCACACAGCTTGTCCAAGGCAAAGCTGGCATCTGAAGCTAGATTTGTGTGACCCAAAGTTTGAGCTACTTCTCTTGCACCAGGAAAAGACGGAATAATCATTTCTTCCATTTGAGTTGGAAAGAAGGTCAACAGGGATATAGCAAGAGAGAGAGAAGGAGAGGAAGAGAATGAGCTTGCTGAGCTTAGCGGGGCCGCTGTGCTAGCTAGAGTCAGGATGAGGCGACCTTGCTGGAGTCAGCCCCACCACCCAGCTCAGGCTTCTGTGCCAGTTCCACAGTCTCCCTCCTCGAAGAGGCTTTAGTCTGGCTCGCCCATCTCGGGCCAGAGGAAATGGGAAGTGTGCAGTTAAAGTTCTCAGGGAAGGCTGGGGAAGAAGCAAACAGGTAGAGATGCTGAACCTAATTGCTGTTAGGGTCCTAAGGACTTTGTCTCCACACAGAATAGAAAAGACATTTTTTGAAAAAGAATACTCTGATGTTTAGGTTTTCAACAATCAACAAATATTTATGAACGCCCCATTGCACTAAGTACTATTCTGTGTACAAACATGCCTTCATGGTATTTAAGTTTCAGGATGCAAATGGTTGAGTATTAAGTTTTGGTGATTGTTTAGAAGGAGTATATTGGGCTAATTTTTCCCCATCCTAATTCCTCAAAAAATTATTTCTCCGAAAAACCCCTCCATGAAATATCCCTCCCTATTTTGAAATTATTTTTAAGTTATTTTTTAAATAGGAAACATATTCCCATGATTCAAAAATTTTAAAGTATGCAAAATTATTAAAGTCTTCCTCACAACTCTGTTCCCCAGTTCTTTTCTCTGTCAGCAACCAATGTTATTGTTTCCTTATATATCCTTCCAAGGAGTCCCTGGGTGGTGTAAATAGTTAATGTGCTTGGCTGCTAACTCAAAGACTAGAGGTTCAAGTCCACCCAGAGGCACCTTGGAAGAAAGGCCTAGTGATCTACTTCTAAAACATCAGCCATTGAAAACCCTACAGAGCACCATCCTGTCCTCCTCAGGTCCAGTCCCCTCCTATTCAACACTCCATTGCTGCTGTGTGTCATCGAGTCAATTCTGACTCAAAGTGACCCTATAGGACAGAGTAGAGCTGCCCCAAAGGGTTTCCTAGGCTATAATCTTTACGGGAGCAGATTGTTAAGTCTTTTCTTCCACGCAGTGGCTGGTGGGTTCCAACCTTCAACCTTTCGGTTGGCAGCAGAGCACTTAACCATTGTGCCACCAGGGCTCCTATTCAGCACTCTAAAAAAAAAAAACCAAACCAGTCTCGTCGCCGTGGAGTCGATAGTGACCCTTTAGGACAAAGTAGAACTGCCCCTGCAGTTTTCAAAGAGTGGTTGGTTGATTCGAACTGCTGACCTTTTGGTTAGCAGCCTAGCTCTTAACCGCTGTGCCACCAGAGCTCCATTCACACTCTGTATAGCTTTAAATCAGGCACAGTGATAGGCGGTAGTGGGGAATAGAGAGAGGCATGCAAAAATGAATGTCACATTTCCTACCCTTAAGGGGCTCAAACACAAAAAGGAAGAGGAGAGAAGATATTTACATAATAGTTAATCCTAATTCAATACTGTGGCAGTGGCACTGGGCATTGGAGGAGAACCCAGAGTTGGAGCACCTAATTATCTGGAAAGGGGTTATCAGAGAAGGCTTCCAGAGGGGTGACATCCCAGGTATGAGCAGGAGTTAGTTAGCTAGAGAGTGTAGAAAGGAGATCCCCAAGTGGCTATCATTGAAAAGAAAAAAATTAGGTGAAAATTGAGGAAGTGTCTAGGGAAATTCAAGCAGTTGGTGGGACATAAGTCTGCAACATTGAGTAAAACAGGAATGAGTGTAGAGAAGCAGACAGAGGTCAGAGGTCAGGTCACAGAGGGCCATGCAGGCAACCTGAAGAACTTAAACCTGACCCTCAAGATAATGAGAAGTCACTACATGGGAACAGCAGGCTATGTACCTTCCCATCTACTAGCCTATCTGAAAGTCACGTATTTTGTTTCTCACTTAGACAATACGGCGCATCAAATCATTTTCCCTTGTCTTTTTCTGTGTATTTTTGTGGTGAACTTAAAAAAAACTCCTATGTAATGTTTTCCACACATGATGTGTAATTTTATTATCTAGCAAAGAAAGACTTCTAAAAAAAAAGTTAATGTTTGATAAAGTAAGACTGGTCATAATGCTGCTTAATAAGATACTGCTGGAAAGACATGACCACCAGTTGCCGCCTGGTTGACTCTGACTCCTGGTGACCCTGGTGGCACAATGGTTAAGTGCTCTGCTGCCAACCGAAATGTCGAAGGTTGGAACCCACCAGCCACTGCGTGGAAGAAAAGACTTGACAATCTGCTCCCGTAAAGATTACAGCCTAGGAAACCCTTTGGGGCAGCTCTACTCTTTCCTACAGGGTCACTTTGAGTCAGAATTGCCTCGATGACCCACAGCAGCAACGGAGTGTTGAATAGGAGTGGATTGGACCTGAGGAGGACAGGATGGTGCTGGATCATTATCAGAAGACGGGAGGAAAGAAAAAAAGTGGGAGGTGATTTTTGTTAGTAAAGATTAGAGAAACAATGGGTTGAGACATTGCTTGGAGGTATAATTCCACTACAGCCAGGACAACAGAATGCAATCAGTAAAGGGGAGGGAGGCCTTATAGGCTTAGCAAGCACCAGAGTTCCAGTTGGAATGTTAACGGGGTAGAGTCCTTCCTTAGAAAATCTGCTTCCCAGGCAGCCAACCTGGGCCCATCATGCCATTTGGGACACCCAATGCCAAGAGGAAGCCCTGGCAGCAGATGGGGATGCCTCCAGTTAGTTTCAGCCTTATTTGCACCTGGTTTGAGTTTCTCCCACAATTTGGCACCCATTCAAACCTGCTGTTAGTCCCATTCCTGGGCTTCTTGTAGTGGGCTGAGTCTGACTGAATGAGATCTCGAGTGCTCCTTAGTTTCTGGCTTGGAAAAAGAAAAAGAGAGAGAGACTATAAGAAAATGAAAGGCTAAGAAAAGACAACAATAGCAAGAAACTAAGAACACTTCTCCAGGTGTAGCCATCAACAAATGTACACACTGAGCTACTTGGAAGGTATGTGTTCTGGACAGAAAGGTTACTGGGACCTTAAAACTGGGTGTGGCTAGACCAGTCCCAGTCTTTTTCCAGGTATGCCTTGTGTTCTGGGCACATTGGCCTGAATTTAGAATTCAGTTTCTGGAACCACAAAGGACGTATTCAGTCATACCCATTGTACCTATGACCGAGATTTATAATCGTTGATAGACTGGCAGAATCCTGTTTTAGTGAACATGATTAGAGCATTGAGGTCTGCAGTAAGGATTCTTTCTGTGGCCAGAGGCCAACCCACAGGGCACTTGTCTGGTGGGTGTGGAGATAACAACTTTAGGTTGAAGGTGACATTCCATAAAGTAGATGTTTCCATGTGCTCGAGGCCATATAACAGAGTTTTCAAAATTATGCAGTTTTTTTTATAGGTAGATAATATTAAATACACATAGTGAATTCGGACATGATTTTCAAAATATTGTATTAGTGATTTGGGCCTGTTTGGCTGCTTTTATTTACCTCTTTGATAAAGAGTTCTAGGCTCTTCTCAGACCAGTAATTTGAGAAGGGTCAAAGAGCAAGATTGATCATCTACAACGCGTTCTGGTTTTGAGTCCCTAGACTGACCAGTCTGCATCAGGAGGGACTGAGCTCCTGGTAGAGAAACCTTAGACAGACTGTAGAGTAGTTTACATAATTAAATGACGCTGAAGGAATAGCCATTCCTAGAGTCTTTTATGATGCTTATTGCTGTTGGCTGTGCTGTAACATTTGAGGTCAACTTCCTCACTAGGGAATCTGAACTCAAACGTTTTTGCCCCCTGCCGCTGCAAATGGAGCCCTAGTGGCACAGGGGTTAAGAGCTAGGCTGCTTATCAAAAGGTCAACAGTTTAAATCCACCAGCCTCTCCTTGGAAACCCTATGGGACAGTTCTACTCTGTCCTATAGGGTCGCTATGAGTAGGAATCAACTCAGTGGCAAAGGGTTTTTTTTTTTTTGTTTACCCCTGAGAATGGATGCAATGCTGGAAGCACTCACTCATCTATGCCAAGAAATTTGGAAGACAGCTACCTCGCCAACCAACTGGAAGAGCTCCATATTTGTGCCCATTCCAAAGAAATATGATCAAACAGAATGCAAAAATTATCTAACAATATCACTAATATCACATGAAAGTAAAATTTTGCTGAAGATAATTCAAAAGTGATTGCAGCAGTACATCGACTGGGAACTGCCAGAAATTCAAGCCAGAATCAGAAAAGGACATGGAACGAGGGATATCATTGCTGATGTCAGAACAACCTTGGCTGAAAGCAGAGAATAACAGAAAGATGTTTACCTGTGTTTTATTGACTATACAAAGGCATTCAACTGTGTGGATCATAATGAATTATGGATAACATGGTGAAGAATGGGAATTCCAGAGCACTTAACTGTGCTCATGAGGAACCTGTACATAGACCAAGAGGCAGTCATTTGAACAGAACAAGGGGATACAGTGTGGTTTAAAGTCAGGAAAGGTGTGTGTCAGAGTTGTATCCTTTCACTATATTTATTCAATCTGTATGCTGAGCAAATAATCCGAGAAGCTGGACTGTATGCAGAGGAACACAGCATCAGGATGGAGGAAGACTCATTAACAATCTGCAGTAGGCAGATGACACAACCTTGCTTGCTGCAAGTGAAGAGGACTTAAAGCACTTACTGATGAAGATCAAAGTCTACAGCCTTCAGTATTGATTACACCTCAACATAAAGAACGCAAAAATCCTCCTAACTGGACCAATAAGCAACATCATGATAAACGGAGAAAAGATTAAAATTGTCAAAGATTTCATTTTGCTTGGATCCACAATCAATGCCCATGGAAGCAGCAGTCAAGAAACCAAACAACACAATGCAGTGGCCAAATCTGCTGCAAAAGACCTCTTTAAAGTGTTAAAAAGCAAAGATGTCACTTGTAGGACTAAGATGCGCCTAACCTAAGCCATATTATTTGTAATTGCCTCACATACATGCGAAAGCTGGACAATGAATAAGGACGACCAAAGAAGAATTGATGCCTTTGAATTATGGTGTTGGCGAAGAATATTGAATATACTATGGACTGCCAGAAGAATGAACAAATCTGTCTTGGAAGAAGTACAGCCAGAATACTCCTTAGAAGCAAGGATGCCGAGACTACGTCTCACATACTTTGGACATGTTATCAGGAGGGGCCAGTCCCTGGAGAAGGATATCATGCTTGGTAAAGTAGGGGGCCAGTGAAGAGGAAGACCCTCAATGAGATGGGTTGACACAGTGTCTACAACAGTGATCTCAAACATAGCAATTATTGTGAGGATTGCATAAGACTGGGTAGTGTTTCGTTCTGTTGTACATAGGGTCACTTTGAGTCAGAACCTCAACGACACCTAACAACCACAACAAACCCTGCAAACGAAATAATTGGGAAACGTTACTCTTAATTAGTTTTCAATTTCTAATCTCTACAATAGCATTATGCAAGAAAAATTGGATTAAAGCATATACAAATATGTAATGAAGTATAAATATAATTACTATTGATAAGGTCCACTACGCTGAATTTACATGAATTTAATTCCAGCAGACAGAATTAATACAGGTACCGCTTTAGAACTGGTAAAACAATTTTTCCAACTCCCATTCAACCTCCTATCAATGTCTACCAGTTCATGTAAAACAAGTCTTTTTTAGAAAGAGCAGTTGTCTTTTTTTTTAACAAAAACATAGTATTGAATTTCAATGTCTCTTTAAAAAACAGTAAAATAAGATGTTAATTGTGTATCAAAGCTGTACTATATAATCAATATGTATATTATCTATTTAACATAAATATCTCTACCCTATACATCACAAAAGAATCTTCCATCCCCCTTTGAGTCTACGTGATATTTTGAAAAGGGCTTTGGAGCCAGACAAACATGGTTTTAAGTGCTGGCTCCCAGTACTTGCTAACTATGTGATACTGGCCTTAGTTTCCTCATCTGTGATATGGGCTAATAAGTAGTACTTAGTCCACAGAAAAGTTATGAGTGTTAAATAAGAAAATGTTTACAGTGCAGTGGCCCGCAGACTTGAGCATGCCTCAGAATCACCTGGAAGACTTGATAAAACAGACCACTGGGTGTCACCCCCAGGGTTTCCGATTCAGCAGGTCTGGGTGGAGCAGGCCCGAGACTGTCTTTCTAACAAGTTCCCTTTGATGCTGATGCTTTGGGTCAGACCACCTTTTACAGACACTGGCATGTTGTAGATTTGTAACCAGTGTTGGTTCTGTTCATTTCTATCTAGAGACTCTTCCTTGACTGAGAAAAAAAAGAAGCTACCAGTGAAAAAGAAAGTGAGTTTATTTAAGAAAAAGCTTTATGTCCCTGTTGGCTCAGGTGTTGATTGCATATGGCAGACTTCGTGAAAGCAGTGCGCAAATGACCGATGTTTGGGAGATACTTAGTACTGAGAACATATCGCTGGATTTGGAGAGAGATAGACCTGATGATGAATTTTAGTTTTGACCTTATTAACTTTGTGACCTGGAGTAACCCGAACCTCAGATGCCTCATCTGTACAGTCATACTAATGATGACCGCTGAGGAAGGCTGTTTTGAGAATTAAATGCAAACATTGGTTTAAAGTGAAAAGTTAAATGTTTATCCGTTTATTAACACGAATACGTGTTAAGAAAACCTAAACATGCCCTAGTATTCCTATACTAATGAAATCCTCAGGGTGTTAAATGAAATCGATTTAAATCTCTTTTCATTACAAAAGGATGTCTACACCATGGCTCCCGAACTGTATAAAGCTAGATATAGCTATACCCAATGAAAAATAGGAGGAAATAAAGAAAAATGTAAGTCATTTAACATGTTGAAATAGATACTTATTCTTTATCATTTTGGTTTGTTATTTGTGTGATAATTTTTTTAAACTATTGAACACCCTCACTTAGTCCTCACAATAACACTGTCTTAGTTATCTAGTGCTGCTATAACAGAAATACCACAAATGGGTGACTTTAACAAACAGAAATTTATTTCTTACAGTTTAGGAGGCTAGAAGTCCAAATTCAGGGTGCTGGCTCTAGGGGAAGGCTTTCTTTCTCCGTCGGCTCTGGAGGAAGGTCACTGTCACTTTGAACTTCTGCTCCTGGGCTATCTTAATGTTGCTTGGCATCTGTTTCCCCATCTCTGCTTCTTTTTCTTGTTTAATGTCTTCTATATCTCGCTACAGATTGATTTAAGGCGCACCCTACACTCATCCTGTCTCCTTAACATAACAAAGAAAACCTATTCCCAAATGGGATTATAACCACAGGCATAGAAGTTAGTATTTACAACACATATTTTAGGGGAACACAGTCCAACCCTTAGCAAACACCTTGAAGTATATATTTTTCCATTAGAAGAGCATTTCCTTAAACACGTGAGGAACATGAATAGTGTCTTCAGTGCTCAATTTGTTTTTTTAAAGTTATTGTAAAATTTGCCATAGTAACCATTTTTTTAAGTCTAATATTTTATTGTGTTTTCAGTGGAGGTTTACACAGCTTCTTAGGTTCTCATTCAACAATTTCTACACCAATTGTTCAGTGACACTGGTTTACATTCTTCATAGTGTGTGAACATTCTTAGTATTCTGTTCTGGTGGTTTCATTTTCATTCATCTAGTTTCTCTGCCCACATTCTCATCTTTAAAGTAATTGTTGACCATTTGATCTCATGTAGATTATTTTTTAAAGGAGTACAGTACTCATGGGAGATAATCTTTATTTTGTGAGCTGTCTTAATTATCTAGCGCTGCTGTAACAGAAATACCACAAGTGGCTGGCTTTAACAAAGAGAAATTTATCCTCTCACAGTCTAGGAGGCTAGAAGTTCAAATTCAGGGAAGGCTTTCTCTCTCTGTCAGCTCTGGGAGAAGGTCTTTGTCATCAATCTTCCCCCATCAAGGAGCTTCTCAGCTCAGGAACCCTGGGTCCAAAGGACATGCTATTCTCCTGGCTCTTGTTTCTCAGTGGTAGGAGGTCCCCCTGTCTCTCTGCTCCCTTCTCTCTTTCATAGCTTAAAAAAGATTGACTTAAGACACAACCTAATCTTGTAGATTGAGTTCTGCCTCGTTAAAGTAACTGCCTCTAATTCTGCCTCATTAACATCATAGAGACAGGATTTACGACACATAGGAAAAGCAGGTCAGATGTCAAAATGGTGGATAGTCACGCAATACTGGGAATCATGGTCTAGCCAAGTTGCCATACATTTTTGGGGGACACAATTCAATCCCTAACAGGAGCCAATCTGTTATTTAGCTAAAAGGTGATCTACAGGGCTAGTTTTGGTTCAACGTTTAAAGAGTTATCTTAGGGCAATAGTCTCGGGGAGTCATCTGGTCTCAACCAGTCCAGTAAGTCTGTTTGTTTGTTTTAGTAATTTGAGGTTCTGTTCCGCATTTTTCTCCCATTCTGTCAGGATCCATCTATTGTGGCTGTGATCAGAATGGTCGGTAGTGGTAGCCAGGCACCATCTATTTCTTCTGGTCATCTTCACCATTTTTTAGTGTATAATTCAGTGACATTAATTAATTATATTCACAGTATTTGACAACCTTCACCATTATCTATTTGCAAATTTTTTTTAATCACCCCAGAAATTCAGTACCCACTCAACAGTAATTTCTCGTTGCCCCCTCTTCCCAGCCCCTGGTAACCACTAATCTACTTTCTGTCTCTATGAATTTGAGATATTGTACACATTTGGTATAAGTGGGTTCATACAATATTTGTCCTTTTGGGTCTGACTTATTTCACTTAGCATAATATTTTCAAGGTTCATCCATGTCATAACGTATCAGAACTTCATTTCTCTTTATGGCTGAATAATATTCCATAGTATGGATAGACCACAGTTTGTTTAATCCATTCATCTGTTGATGGACACATGAATTGTTTCTACCTTTTGGCTCTTGTAAATAATGCTGAAAGGAACATTAGCGTACACTGCTTTATTTTTAAGATCACATCACATGAAAGGAGAAGGAATTGGGTTTGATACGTGGGTTTATTTTCTTAAACCCTGCCATGTTCCAGAAACGAGTTAATATGGCTGTTTAGAACGTAATATAATTTCTCAAAAAAGGAAATCAACACAGTCAAAACTTGAAAGAAATGAGTTTCACAATCATTCTGTATAGGTTTTTGCCAGTCTAACCACATCCTTCCCATTTCAGGCATTCAGCCTCGTAAATGTTTAAAACAAACATTGTCCCTCCTTGTTAGTTACATGGAGATAATTCTTTAACTTTACTATGAAAATTTACAAGTACATACAACACTATGGAGAAATGGTACAATAATCCTTCTTGTGTCCATCAGCCAGTTTCAACAATCATCAACACATTACACAAATTCAAAGCAAGAAAACTTAAAACATATGACAAATCATTGAGATGACTCTGTAATTCTCACAAATGAGTTCCTTTCTCATTTCAAAAGAAATGCAAAATTCTGTTATTCCACCCTGAGTCTTTCTTCATATTCCATAATAACAATTCATTGAAAAGTGAAAATATTTTCATGCAACTTAAACTCTTAGGATATATTATACCAACCAGACTGGGTATTTTTCTTCTTTTAATTGACAAAGCCAAGTCTACAAGCACAAGCTCTTTAAGTATGAGGAACAACAAGAGAACTCTGCTTGTTAAGATCTCCATTCTCTTGACTTTTCTTTTCCTGTAAGGGAAGAGGGAACTGTGGTTCAGTGGTAGAATTCTCAGCTTCCCTGTGGGAGACCCGGGTTTGATTCCCGGCCAGTGCACCTCAAGCACAGTTACCACCCATCTGTCAGTGGAGGCTTGTGTGTTGCTATGATGCTGAACAGGTTTCAGTGAGCATCCAGACTAAGAAAGACTAGGAAGAAAGGCCTGATAATCTACTTATGAAAATCAGCCAATGAAAACCCTATGGATCACAATGGTCCTATCCAGTTGTACATGGGGTCACCATGAGGGTGGGGGCAACTCGATTGCAGTGAGCAACAACCGTTACCAAGAGTAGTGGATTGGTTAGTGGGATAGATTGGTGCAGTGTTTAGTGATACTCTTTTTCACTAGATGGAGAGGGACATCCCTCCATATTGAATATTCTGCTTCCTCTGTTAATTCAAAATAAGGACAAATTGACAGGCTTACTATTTTATGAGTCCAGTGTGTGTTTGAGCATAGAATTAACATGAAGATATTTCACCCTCTGCTATATCTGAATGTGTTTTCCATTACCACGTTATCATAGAGCCTGCTCTATTGGATTCCATCTTGTTAGGTGCAGTCGAGTTGATTCCAGCTCATAGCGATTGCATGCGACAGAATAGAACTGCCCCATAGGGTTTTCTTGGCTATAATCTTTACGGAAGGAAATCTCCAGGTCTTTCTCTTGTGGAGCTGCTGGGTGGGTTTGAACCGCCGACCTTTCTATTAGCAGCCAAGCACTTAACCATTTGCGCCACCTAGGAACCTAGTGTCACTAACTGTCAGTTTTCATTCCACCCAGTTGCTCTCACCAAGGAACAGCAGGGGCAAAGAACAATGCAAGCCTCCAAGATACAGTCTTCTGAGATTACTACAAAGAATCTGGAAGGTTTTCTAGAACTCAGCCAAATCAGCTTGAATCTCCTCCTCCCCTCCCCTTTACTAGTAGGGCTAATCCTGCACAGGGAGATGAGAGGAGTACAGTAACTGAGACTATTTCGTTGGTTAGTGGGATTCACCGTTCCGTGTGCAGTGCTTGTAGGTGCGTGGACTCATGTACTTAAATAGTAAGAATCACAGGTGGCCAACATCTTGCCAATATCTTGACTCTTGAGAAGAGGATATCTGCAGTTTCCAAATGACTGGAGTGTCCTATCTCTGCCCTAGTAAAATATTCTGTGTTGTTTCCACCAGAATGAGGGGGCACCTGAACCAGATTGAAACAAGGGGCCTGGTGAGGGGCAACTTGCCAACCTTCCTGGCACTTTCCATCCATTGTGTCCTTTGGGGCCTCGTTTACCTTTCAGAGCCCACCAGGTGGTCCACAAGGAAGGAGAACTATGGTGGAGTGAAAGGAGTATGGACACCCTCCCTCAAGGCAGAGGGTGGGGCACTCAAGTCATCGCTTTATCTAGCAGGTGATCTTGGGCAGGTCCCTTCTATGTGGAACCTTAGTTCCTGTCTTAGTCATTTAGTGCTGCTACAATAGAAATACCACAAGTGGATGGCTTTAACAGAGACAAATTTATTTATTCACAGTAAAGTAGGCTAAAAGTCCAAATTCAGGGCGTCAGCTCTAGGGGAAGGCTTTCTCTCTCTGTTGGCCTTCTCATCAATGTTTCCCCAGACTAGGAGCTTCTCTGCACAGGGACCCCAGGTCCAAAGGGCACCCTCTGCTCCTGGCACTGCTTTCTTGGTGGTATGAGGTCCCCCTGTCTCTCTGCTTGCTTCTCTCTTTTATAGCTCAAGAGATTGCCTCAAGACACAGTCCAATCTTGTAGATTGAGCCCTGCCTCACTAACTGCCAACCATCCTCCCTCATTAACATCATAGAGGCAGGATTTACAACCCATGAGAAAATCATGTCCCCGTCAAATTGATACACACATTTTTGGGGGGACATAATTCAATCCATGACAGTTCCTCAGCCAAGGAAGAGTGATAATACCGTGGTGGTGATGGGAGTCCCTGGGCGGTGTGCTCAGCGGCTGAACGAAAATTTAGAGGTTTGAGTCCACCAGAGGTGCCTCAGAAGAAAGGCCTGGTGATCTACTTCCAGAGATCAGCTTTGAAAATCCTATGGAGCACAGTTCTACTCTGACACACATGGTGTGGCCATGAGTCAGCATTGACTTGACAGCAACTGGTTAATGATTATGGAAGGGGGAAGTGTATTGTGAGAATTGAATGACATATGGTTAAGCACTGGACTGCTAACTTAAAGGTTAGAAATAAGGCCTGGCAATCTGCTTACAAAAAGTCACAGCCTTGACAGCCTATGGAGTGCAGTTCTATGCTGCACACTTGGGGTCGCCATGAGTCGGAATTGACTTGAGAGCAACTAACAACAGTAGCTCTAACGCCTCTAGCACAACTCCTGGCACACAGAGTAAGGAGCCTAGTAAACGTGGTTGCGGTGGTGGTGTCTTTAAGGGGGAGATACTGGAAGGAGTAGAAACTCAGAATGGCTACTTCAAAAATAACAAAGTGGTTTTGTGAAGTGGAAAGGAAGTTGTAGCGACTAACGAGTGCTAGGGACATTCTCATCATTTAAGATTAGAGAAACCCAGCCCAGGAAGGTGAAGTGATTTGTCCAGGTCGCATGATTTAGCAGCTGAACTGGGTCACACAGATGGGACTTCCAAGTCTTAATACAATAGTCTTTACATAATCAGTACTTCCGATAATTTCCCGTGAAATGCTGTAGATATTGGAGCAAAATAACAGTAACGGTATTTTGGTATTTATCTTGTAAAATGCTGAAAGATTGATTTTAATGATCGAACTCTAAAAAGTATCTAGAATTCATTTTAAAAAGATAGTGAAGTAAAATGCTTAATATTTTTCAAATGAAAAATTCTATAGGCTTACTACAAAATATATAGTTTTTAATTTGTCCATGTTTTCTAATTTATAGATGTTTCATGAAGGAGA